CATGCGACATACCGTTCGCGAGTTCTAGGGGGGGTCAAAGAGCGCCCCCCCCCGGTCCCCCCATGTCAAAAAAAGCCCGGTCTAGGTAGGGTTAAGTGCACTGTGAACTATGTAACACCTTTAGTGCACTATATACACCAAGTAACATCTAGTGTCAGTGCACAGTAAACCAGTCAGAATTGCCCTGATGAAGATGACAGAAGGCCATCGAAACGTTGGCTTGAAAAATAAATGGCTGTGATAGAAATAACTTTGCTATTTAGTCATTTACCAACCTGAAATTATTTACGGGCACAGCCATGTTTGTTTAAATTCTGATAGTTTGCAGTGGTGCTAGTTGTGTTGGATAACAAAAGACTCACATGTGTTATAACGCCATTTAAAAAAAGCTGTGGTCAGTTTTGACCCGCCTCACCTCCGATAAACTGTCTAGGATAACTCAGTCAACAATGTTGTAATCTCAGCAAAAACGTGTGAGATGTTATAAGACATATATACGAGCAAACCTACAAAAGGGATTTCGTTTTTGACAAGAAATGTCAAAATGACACATATCTATATACGCCTACATACGCCGGTGGTTTGAGTGTTACGAATCTCTATTCATTAGAATATTCCTACTCAAAGCCCCCCTTTTACAACTAGTTTCAAAAGTCTTCAGTTTAACCCTACCTAGACCGGGCTTTTTTTGACATGGGGGGACCGGGGGGGGGCTCTTTTGACCCCCCCCTAAGAACTCGCGAACGGTATGTCGTATGACCACCAAATTTTCAGAGAATGGTGTACTAGTGAAAATTTATCATATCTACAATTTTTATGTCGTTATGACGTAATATGACGTCATTATGACGTCATTAATGTGATTTTATTGGCCAAAACCGTCTAAATAGATTTTCCCCTGAAAACCTCCCTGGTATACAACATAACTTTACCAAAAGTGTTTATGACAGAATATTAGTGTGTACTAAGTCTTATGTTGCCCATAGCAACACCGGTGACGTCATAAAATGACGTCATGCATATTTAAGATATCCGCCATCTTGGATCGTCAATCTTGAATTTTCAAAAATAGTTTTTTTTCATGATAAAGCCTAAAATACATTGTAAACATACTAAACACCTTCATTCAAACCTTTTTGTAAAAAGAAATGGAAGTATTGATGAAATTTTAATGAAAATAACCCGTATATACCTGTTCTAATGATATGGTCCGCCATCTTGGATTTTGGCCAATGACGTCATCAAATTAGCATAAATTATGCATATTTAATGATAAAATTTACATAAAATTATATGGGATGTTATTTATATTAGAAACCATGAGTAA